GAAAAAGGTTGAGTTTGTTCACCTCGCCATGGACGGCTATCTAGTATTCAGGTAGGTTTGTTGGGCAATGAGCTGCCCATAGGCATCAAGAAGTGCTGGTAGGGAATAGCCCAACACAGGACAACAAGCCACTGTGAGGTTGTCTGCAGTCTTTACGTGGTCAGGACTGTTGGCTGTTTGTTTAGAGCACTGCCTTTATCCACTTGTGTTTGTAGTAGGTCCTGAGTTGCCTTCCATCTCCCTGACCAGATCTGTATTGCAATCACCAACATGCCGGAGGAGAGTGGATGTTTCAGAAGGCATACCGTGGACTTATCCCAGTGTTGCTGTTAGACCTCTGCTGCTGGCTCCCACAAGTGGCATCCCTCATCTGTTATGGGATTCTTGCACCTCAGACTCGTTTTGAGGAAGCTCTGCACTGACGAGATGCAGCCAGGCTGCTTCGTTTATGAAATAATTTTTTGTTGTTGACTTTTCAGCAGTAGTCTGTTCACTGATTTACATATATTTTTTTAAATTTCTGTATGTGATGCAGTTCCTCCTTGTGAGGAGGACTTTCCCCTGAAGTATAACTGAGGAAGATTGCTGAAACGTGGTTAAGCTTAGTGTCGGTGGGCGGCGTGCAGAACTTTGAGATGGGCTTTTGCGGTTTACAGCTGTTAGGTGGCTAACCCCAAAGAGCTGTTTATTTCTGTCTTCTGCTTGCTGTCTCAGTTCTTGCATGATGGATCGCTATCTAAATGTGACTCTTAGGAGTAGGCAAAGTTATGTATATGATAGCAAGCACACAAACTTTATAATTATTTACACTAATGTACCAGTGTAATTGATTCAGAGTGTCTTGCTGGAACAAGCTCTGTTGTCTGAAACATTTGGTGTTGCAATTGTCTTTCTGCCATAGCTGCTCCTAATTTCTGGGTGAAGGCTTTGGAATGCAGTCAACTACATATTCATATCACTACAGAAAACCTTGAAATACAAGGTTACAACATCTGGAGACTTTCAGCAAATGAGAATGACAAGTAGGAATGGAGCATCATATTAACACAAAAGCATGTTTTCGTGGTATATTCTCATACATTTAAAAAAAAAAAAAAAAGGCGGGGAGAGACGTTTCCAGTGTTGAAGGTTGGTGATCTTCTCTGACAACTATGTCTTGCAAAGCCTATAACATAGCTTCCTAGCAATAAATAAATTCAGTAACTGCATGTGATGGAATGGCTATGAATTTCTACTTGGACTATGACTTGTGGACTGTTTCGCGAAGGCTACAGAGTAAATGGTCGTCTGAATGGAAGAACTAGTGACCCAGTTGATTTTTTTTTTTTTAATTTTTTTATTCTTCCAGATGGCTCTGCAACCTCACCACTATTACCTTTTTTTGCCCCTTTTTCCTTTTTTTTTTCTGGCAAATTAATCACAGCTGTTGAGAGACTTCACAAGCATTATAAATGTTGCAGTGTCATGGCCACTGCTACAAAATTCGAACTAGTAGGAGATCTTTCTCTGAAAAAAATACCTTTCAGATAGTTTCAGTCTTTTAATTTTAATGTACTGTAACAACAGGTTTAACACGATATTCTTCCTTTTGAGGATTGGTTCCAACTCTTTAATGTTTTGGAGGCCTCTTCCTTCTGTTAAGGAAATGTGTTCTTACAGTGGTGCATATTATGCTGTAGTGGAACTTAAACTGCCCGGGGCTGTGTTGAGGCTGCCAGATCTGAGGGACTAGTCGTCTTGACTTTGCAGGACTGTTTTCCCTAGGGGAAAACACGATTGTCAGGTTTATTGTACAGTGACAGATGTTTAATTTGTAAATGTCACGCCAACTTCAAGGACTCTATGTTTGGCATACAATGCTTCAAATACTGGTTTTATGTGAGAAGACAGCTATGATGTATGGCTGGAGTTGCTGCAGTTCTGCTTGCTTTTTCTTTTTGAATTCTCTTGGAGAAGAGAGCCCTTAACCCTTTGCTAATAATCTTTTACAGTTGAGGTGTGTGATGTCTTGTCTTGTCAGGATGTGAATTGTGTAAAAATCCTGCTGATACGAAGTCTGTAACATTCAAACATAATCTGACAATTTCTTTACTTTAGTTGTCTTTCAGCATCACTTGCCTACAATATCTGTAATAAATCCCCTTTGACTAAAACAACTTATCTACTCTATCAGTCAGTTATCTGAATCTGAGCTAGCAGATTCAGCTAGCTGACTCCATCTGTAGCAATTAAAGGCAAATCAGTGGTTCTGGGATGTAGACATGTTGCGTCCCATGTGCATCTGCTATTTTGCCTTGACTGGACATCAGATCTAGTCAGTTTGGCAACCCTTTAGAATTTTATATTAGAGGAACCCACCTTTAAACATAGCAAGAATAAAAAAGCTTGTGTTCCTAATGTTCTGAAATGTCCTAAAAGTCCAGATTGGTTACACTAAGCTTCAGACATCTAACTGACATACCTAAACCATAAGTATCATCATCCCACTGAGTAATTAGTGGACTGATGCCTTTCTGAAGGGTTCACACAGGCTGAAGCTTGAAAGGCTGAGTAGCAATGTTTTCCTTCTAATTGGAGTAGATGGAGCATAGAAATACTAGTCTCCTAATGTAACTGAGGTGCTAAAAGTAAAAGGGGATGAATTTTTCTAAATTCCTATTAGCACTACCGTTGTGGTTTAGGCGCAGCTGGCAACTAAGCACCACTCACTCCTCCCACCCACTCCCCCTTGCCACCACCCCCCCTCCCCCGTGGCATGGGGAGGAGGAAATATAACAAAAGCCTCGAGGGTTGAGACAAGGACAGGGAGGGATCACTCACCAACCATGGTCACAGGCAAAACAGACTTGATTTGGGGACAAATCTATTTAATTTGTTAGCAAATCACACTCAAAGAGGATAACAAGAAACAAAGCCAGATCTTAAAAAAAAAAAAAAAAAAAAACAAAAAAAAAAAAAAACAAAACCCACACT